ACTTACTAAAGTATCAAAGCACATTCTTATAGCGCTTGACGAGCTGAGTTCAACGGTGTTTTCCGTTTCTGGAATACTTCATTTCTGACCGAGTTATAACGAATTCACGAAATTAACGAGGATTCGCGTTATTCGCGTGAATTTTCGATTTCAAACGGCGAGTACTGTAATAGCCAGAAATAAAACCGACTAAACTGGAGGCAACAGCCTATAACAAGAGCCCTATTAGTTTTGTCGGAAGATGTGTGGTGAAGCTGCAGTTTGAGGGGCACGTAGAGAACATGGAAGTGTATGTTTTGAGAACAGCAGGTCACCCACTTTGCGGCCGAGACATGATTAGGAAACTGCAAATAGATTGCGGGCCGTATGTAAAAAGTATTGTCAGGGAAGAAACTTATACTCAAGAGCAATTACGGACAGAAATAAAAAATATGTTAGAGGAAAATCGGGTACTGTTCCAGAAGGGGCTGGGCCGTTGTACGACAACGAAAGTTTCGTTGAAATTCAAGCAGGAATGGAGAAGCCAAAATTTTGCCGCGTACGACCGGTCCCAATAGCGCTGAGACCTAAAGTAGAAGCAAAGCTTCAGGAGTTGGTGGAGAATGGTACCTTAACAAGGGTGGAACACGCGGAATGGGCCACCCTTTAGTAGTGTGCCGAAACCAGGAGGGAAAATAAGGCTATGTGGGGACTATAAGGTGACGGTTAATCCACAGTTGGATATTAACCAATACCCATTGCCTAAAGCCAGATGACTTGTTTCCATATGTTGAATGGAGGCCAAAAGTTTTCGAAAATGGATTTATCAGATGCGTATATGCAGCTGGAGCTGGAACCAGAGTCTAAAGAAATATACTACCATTAATACACATAAGGGGATGTTCGTATATAATAGAGTCCCATTCGGCATAGCCTCTATCCCAGCGATTTTCCAGAGAATCATGGAAACCACGTTGGCGGGAATAGAGGGAGTAATTATATACCTCGACGATATTACGGTGACGGCCCCAGATGATGGGACACATCTAAGAAGGTTGCGAGAGGTATTAAAAGGTTGAGAGAAGCCGGTTTCAGGCTGAAACGTGAGAAATGTGAGTTTATGGGGGAACAGATGGAGTTCCTGAGGCATATAGTGGATGCAAAGGGCATAAGACCTTCGCCAAAGAAGGTGCAGGCAATGGTCAATATGCCTGAGCCAAAAAATTTGAAGGAACTAGAATCATTCATAGGAATGGTACAGTATTACGGTAAATTTATACCGAACTTGTCGACGATAGCAGCGCCCTTGAATGGGTTAAGAAAGAAGGGTGTACCCTTTCGTTGGGAAGAGGAGCAGAGGAAGGCGTTTCAAAAAATTAAACAGCGACTGATGGGGGCGGATGTGTTGACACACTATGACCCCCAAATACCAGTGGTTCTGGCAACAGACGCTTCTGAATATGGATTGGGAGCTGTCGTATACGAGAAATCGTTTCTGTAGGAAAATTCGTGATGAGTGCGAGTTGTTACACTTTCCGAAGCCATATCTTCCTTCATCTTCATCAAATCTCAAAAGTTAATACAGCAATGTAAACTAGAAGACCTGCTCTATACATCGATGATTTTGCAAAATTGGAGAGGAAAATTTCCAAGCAGTGCGAGTTTTTACACTTACGACAGCAATAACTTTTTCAAGTTCGACAAATCTCAAGTGTTAATATAGCGTGTTAAAGTAAAAAATCTATTCTACTAGTAGCTAATGAATTGACTTGATTGGTTCAGTATTTTGGAAGTGGCTATGTTGAGGATTTGTGCCCGAGTACCGTCAAGTGGTTCGCCATCACTGCAGCGGCACTCTTGCAACGACTACATATAGCACTTTTCAGGGAATGGAAGAAGATTGGGGACCCGACAGCTTTTTTCCTCCCAATGAGTGTGAAAGCGTTAGCCATTTCCAACTTTAACGATATGTGTTATAAATTGCGTTGAAAACTGCATTTTCCATCTTGAATAGTGGATTCCTCCCCTCGTCAGCTCTCACTCGGGACAATGGGCATTACTGTGGCTGCAGGGCTTGAAATGGAATTTGGAAAGTTTTCTTCCATGGAAAGAATCTTCATACCCTCGCTCATCTACGCCAGCCCTGGGCAGAGGAAATCTCCCTCCACTCGAATTTTATTGAAGAAAAATCTTCCTGACGCTGCTGCTATTGCGCAATCCTGCGCGGTCGCGAATGCGTGCTTTAAAGCGCGCAACTGAGTGGAGCCCACTCAGGGGCGCGCCGTGTGCTTCACATCCCTTCATATTCATGGATTCGTTTGAGAGATAAAACGTCCGTCATAAAACCTGCTAATTTCGGATTCTTCAACCTTGTAGTAGATTGGAGGTGGCCTGGAATTAATTTGAACCACGGAAATTTGTGCGGAATAACATTGTTATTGGCAACCCTGGCCAGCATCGGTCACTCATTCTTTCTGGGTTTTGTGGAGTCCTTCAACAGTGACGATCCTACTGCATCGATCCAGCCCGATCCCTTACTTCCATCGAGCCAAATACGACCCCCCCTCCCACCCCCACTGCGGACCTGTCGAGAATCCCTCAGCGCACGCTTGACCCTGGGTGGTGCGGGAGATCTTGAACGAAGATGAACCGGAAGTCGGGTTGAGGTCGTATCACTTAGCGTAAAATTTCTTTTGAAGAAGAGTGCTAGAGCTCAGACAAGGTTGTCCTTAGCTGGTACGAGGATAGTGCTACACAACGAAGCTGAAAGAACTGTTAGCCTGAGAGTCGCCAACTTTTTATGAATAATCTACCCAAGGTGGGTCGAACGACCTCAGAAAAAAAGCAGACTTTGTCTTGCTTTGCTTTCAAATTGAACACGTCGCCATTGTGCTGTCCGACGTTTGCCTTCTTCACTGACCCTAGTATTACTGGGCGGCGGTTCCCAGCGCAAGGTTCCTTTCGTGTTTCACCAACATTTCAGAAGTGTCGAACTTAGAGGAGTTGGGCTTTTGCTGTCAGAACTCCCGAATCGCTTGAGCTAGGCTACTGCTCCTGGTGGATTTGCTAGCACACTCCACCCAGTCACAACACTGGTGAATATGCAGGATGATCACTGAAAGGAACTCTGGGAAATCAGAAGGAACATGATGATGTCAGATCGTGTTGGAGCTGATTCGGGCTCAGAGCATGTGAGATACAAATTCCATATTTTAAAATCTTTACGACTCTACGTAGATGTCTACATTCCATCATCTTAACAAGTCGGATATGCTCTGACAAATAGCGACTACTTTGTCCAGATCCAATCTCAGTGGCGCTGGGTAGAGCAGTGAGATTGCCAGTAGAGGGGTAGTTGGAGTGTGGGTCATCTTCAAATGAAAAAGCCAATCCGGAATAGAGTCAACCGGTTATGGATGTAGACTCGCAGTAGACGACAGTAGTAGTGTGACTCGCCTATCTGCTGGTTGATCCACTATGTTGTTTGGCGTTTGAAAGATCCTAATCAGAAGTGATGAAGAAGGAAGCTCAAAAATAGGTTCTAGAAAAATTGATGTAATAGCCACGTAAGGCAGCGTGTAAATGGGCTGACTAAATGCTCAGGTAGGATAATGTGGGTGCTACTTCGCAAAACATGTTTCACGCCTTTACCATTTTTCTTGGATTTTTTATAGCAATAAATGTAAAGTGATTCACTAATTATGGGTACAACCTAATAGCAAAAGCATGCACCCTATCAAGCGAGATATTGTAGAATCGTGCGTTCCAACTTTCATTCACATGCAAACATTCCATACATACTACTAAATATATACATTCAGTTTTTTGCGAGTTTTTCGCTTCACCAAAGCGTGATGTGGTAGGCTTAGAACCAGGTAAGCAGTATTTGTCAGATCCGACTTATTCGGATTGGCCTTAAAGGAATCTTCCACGGACCATGGACCAGTGGGCGGGACCGGAAGTGGTTTTGCGACGAAATGCATGGTAGGTACGGATCCACGTTCATGGGAAGGTTTGAAGTGAATCCTGTTCACGTTCGTGCGTTCGACACGTGGATCCGTACCTACCATGCATTTCGTCACAAAAACTTCCGGTCCCGCCCACTGGTCCATGGTCCGTGGAAGATTCCTTTAAGTTCAAAGGTATTAGGACCTTCAGAGATTTGCCGGTTGCAGGAGTTCGCATTTGGCTCAGAATTACATGAGACTTGAAGCGCGTTGAGTGGCTTGGGCCGTGACGCTTTATGAACAACGAGGCACTTGTGCGACAAAAACTAGAGTAGCGAGAAACTCCTTCTACCAAGCCGAGCACAACTTCTCACATATGATACAATTCTTTCTTAAGTTCTTGCATCACCCAACGTTAACAGTTGACCTCCTTCACTTCATTACAATTTTCCCCGGTTCTCTGAGCCTACCCGGAGTGTCAGGATTTTTAGAGAACGTCGCTTCAAGGCGACACTTTGCTCAGATAGAGCATCTGCTCAAACCGGGGCGTTATGAGAGCGCGCGGCCGTGTGCCCACAAGGGAGGTCGTTCAGGGTGTGCCAAGCTTTTTCAAAATGGTTTCTTGCATGACATTGGGGCATATGGGGACCACAGAAGCATGGTTCATTTTTCCTGAACGGCTCTCTGAATACCAGAAAAGGGGTCCCTAGTTCGATTCCTCGTGGTGACAAGTTTTTGCATTTCGTGTTGACGTTTCCAAATTCGCGCAAAATGGAGTTAGCATGAATAATTAGTACCAATTCATGATTAGGAACGTCAGTAACCCTTACAAATAGACTTTATTGAAAAACTGGTGAAAAAGGTGTGACTAGGGACCCCCTTTTCTGGTATTCAGAGGGCCGTTCAGGAAAAATTAATGGTTCTGTGGTTCCCGCATGTGCCTCTATATCATGCAAAAGACCGTTTTGAAAAAGCTTGGCACACCCTGAAAGACCTTCCTTGTTAGGACCACTCTCTATTATTCCACCTATTTTTCCTTCTCTCCGTGGACTATCTTGTAATTGAAAATGGTATGCACCGCACATTTGAACAACGCTCCGCATTCTGTTTCCTTTCCCAGCGCATGTCCCGCACACCGCGGGCTCCGCTTAGCTCACGTCTGTTTCGTACTTCTTAGCCCATGTCCCAACCGGATGGCAATGCATTTGAAACCGCGTAAAACATCTCCGTTCTATTAGAATCCCCTCGAGACTAACCTTTAGGCAGAGATGTGAATTTTGGATCCATGTGACCGCTCCATTTTGGCTCCAGATTGAGGCGAGCTGTAAGATATATGAGGCCCATTTTGATGACCATGACTGTAAGGCTTCTAGAATTGTGCTTGCACCGTTTCATCCAATTCCATCGAATTGTTAACAAGTTACGCCAATTTATCCATCTCGTCCTTAAGTTTCTGCACACACCAGTGGATATTTCATCATTTATTGAGCGTTTCGGTATAGTAGCCCTTTGAACGACGGGCAGAAGAACAACAACTAAAAACTGACGGATGATCCTCCTTATATAAAAGAACTCAAGATATGTAAACACAGTTTCTGTAGGAAAATCTGGGAGTGTGCCACTTTTTCTCAGGGCAACAAATGTTTGATAAGTACAATGTGAAAAGGTATTGATGGCGGCAAAAAGAGATTCAACAGATACACAACAGTAATTTTCTATTAGTAATATTTTCTAGTAATAAGTGTCGTTCTCGTCAACATCCTTGACAATCAAGCCGCCGTTCTTCGAATGGAGCATTCGGTGAGGTCCCAGTCGCCAGTTATGCCTAGCACCGATCTGAATGGAATCATTAATTCCAAAAGACTGAAACATTTCAAGAGAAACTCTTCCTTGCGCACCGCGTTCTGCGCCACAACACGCCACAAGTAAGCATTTCTCATCAAGTTATGGGCATAGT